AGACCTGATTTTCAGATAGCCCAAAGTTAAACTTGTTAGCTGAAAAGTAATTTTCTCTGATTGCATCACGGAATAATTTTTCTGGGATTGGCTTACAGGACCAAATAATATCGAACTTAACCTACAGCAAATTGTTGTGAAAGTGTGACCATAAAATTAATCAATGCAAGAAAAATACACTCAGAATCAAAAGAAGGCTTTGCTGAATACTGATGTGAACAGAAACTCAGAAAATGATGCGAGTGGATTTTTACCTGAGCAGGGTATTGCTTCCCCACTGCTGCAAAGGCATTAGGCACAATATTTATAGCCCCATCACAGGAAGCCTTAAACACACCGTGAAGTTGTCTCTTCTCATATTCAATCGGATGATACATCAACTAAAAATCATAATCCTTCAGAAACTCCATCCACCGCCTCTGCCTCATGTTCAGCTCCTTCTGATCAAACAAGTATTTCAGACTCTTGTGATCACTGAAGACACTGAACCGAGCACCATACAAGTAATGCCTTCATATCTTCAAGGCGAACACCACAGCTGCTAACTCCAAGTCGTGAGTGGGATAGTTCCTCTCATGAGTGGGATAGTTCCTCTCATGAGTCTTCAGTTGCCTTGAAGCATATGTCACCACTCTCCTGTTTTGCATCAGCACACACCCCAGACCCTGGTGGGAAGCATCACAGTACACATCAAAAGGCTCACCAGAATCCGACAATACCAACACTAGAGAAGTAGTCAATCTCCGCTTCAGCTCAACAAAACTCTGCTCACAGGCATCAGTCCAAATAAAAGGCTGCTCCTTCCTCGTCAGCTGGGTTAAAGGCGCTACTATCTTGGAGAATCCCTCAATGAACCTCCTATAGTAACTCGCCAAACCCACAAAACTCCTGATATCAGTGACAGTTCTCGGACGCTCCCACTGCAACACTGACTCCACTTTAGCCGGATCAACAGCAATCCCCTCAACTGAAATCACATGTCCAAAGAACTTCACCTCATCCAACCAGAACTCGCATTTTGAAAGCTTAGCATACAGCTGCTTCGCTTTCAAAATCTCCAACACTGTCCTCAAGTGCTCACCGTGTTCTTCCCGGGTCCTTGAATAAATCAAGATGTCATCAATGAACACCATAACAAACTTATCCAAGAACGGTCGGAAGATCCTGTTCATGTAGTCCATGAACACTGCGGGGGCGTTGGTCACACCGAACGGCATCACAACATATTCATACTGACCATACCTAGTCTTGAAAGCAGTCTTTGGTATGTCACCCTCCTTTACCCTAATCTGGTGATATCCTGACCTCAAGTCAATCTTGGAAAACACAAACGCTCCCCTCAGTTAATTATTTCTAAACCTAAAAGAGTATCTAGCAACATCAAGTTTAGACAAGGAAACTAAATTCCTAAAAATACTAGGTACATAAAAAGTATCAAACAAGTCTAAATGAAATCCAGTGTCAAGGATTAAATGATAAGTCCCGACAGCTTCCACTGAAACTTTCACTCTATTCCCCATGAAGACAAACTTTTCATTTGGGCTTATGGTTCGGGTTGTAAGGAATCCCTGCATCATATTAGAAACATGAGTTGTACATCCAGAATCAATCCACCAAGTATTATGGGGAACTTCAGTTAAATTAGATTCGAAACATACATAAGCATTATGCTCACCTTTCTTTTCGAACCAAGCTTTACGTTTTGGGCAATCCTTCTGGAAATGACCAGACTTCCCACAGAAATGACATTTGTCAGTTTTCTTCTGGATTTTAGTAGAGGACTCAGCAATCTTTAATGGTCCCTTTCCCTTTCCATGTTTCTTATTAACTTTCTTTTCAACTCCTTGATTATTCACATAATGAATGGAGTGATTTCCTTGATTCTTAAGTCTGGTTTCCTCCTGAACTAACATACTGTGCAATTCATGCACATTCCATTTGTCTTTCATGGTGTTATAGTTCATTTGGAAAGGACCATACTCAGACGGTAATGAGTTCAAAATAAACTGCACAAGGAAATTTTCATCTACTGCCATTCCAAGAGACTTAAGTCTTGCTGCAATGTTTGTCATCTCAATGACATGTTCATGCATAGTACGAGAACCATCAAACTTCATGGTGGTTAAGGTACTCATTAATGTCCCAGCAAGAGACTTATCAGCAGTTTGGGAGCGCTCTTCCACAAATTTCATAAACTCTTTTGCACTTTCAGTTTTGGGAAGAGCAGACTTAATGTTATTTGCTATGCTCATTCGCATAAACATCAGGCTAAGTCTGTTTGATTTTTCCCAAGCCTTATAATGGGTTTTCTCTTCATTGCTACTATCATCAGTAATAGCAGCAGGTTTTTCAACTTGAATAGCTAAATCAAGATCCAAAACACCTAAGTGAAATTGGACTTGTTCGCTCCAATCAGAGAAATTCAACCCATTAAAGACCGGAACAGACATAGCATGAGAATGCAAAGATACAGGAACAGATACTGCAATTAACACATGCTTAACATTATTACTTCGAGTCATAAATTAAACATACAATACAAATTCAAACAACAAACAAGCATTCTATGCATACTAATGTTCTCCTTTGGGTGATACATTAATACACAAAACATAATGATGCTAATAATATTAACATTATTTGGCAAGACATATGCACTAATTAGAAATACTTATTATCTTTGGATAAATAAATAAAACTAATCATGCATACTCACTACCAACAGTCATATCCATTAATTATAAGAACAATTAATCAACCTTTGGGTGATCCATAAATGTCTTATAATAATAAACTTCAATCAACCCATAAATCAATAATTTATAATTTAGCATCCATGTTATGGGTAATTGAAATAAAATTATCATTAATTTGGAATTAAATAAAACATAAAGATTTGATCACTTTGGTGATTACAAATCTATCATACATTTAATCCCAAAAATAAATACAATTATGAGCAAAATGCACACGGGCGTGGAATAACCAATTACATGTCAAATTCAATTTCATGTACAGGAAGATATTTAATTTCATTTCAAACCACTCCAAATTGAAAACAATTCCGAGAAGCACAACGAAAACATAATAGCATGATTCCAATTAATTTCCAATTGAAATTGAAATTCACAATGAAGAAAACGATTCAAAAATTCCATTTCAATTCATAATATGGTGGTTGTCGTAACAGGATCGATTTTAAGGGATATTTCAAATTGAAAGCATTCTCAATATGCACAACGAAAAATATGGTTCTTGATCCATTTTCAATTAGAATTAGGATTCATAAAAAATTGGGAAAACATTATTCATGGAGAATCATAAATTCAACAACCTAAAGCTTTGATACCACATGTAAGTTGTAGCCTTCATATATCATTCATAATTTAAGAAAACTACTGCATACCATAAGGATCTTAGAATTTATGATTCTCACATACGTTTATAATAATAAGAGAGACTTACCTTGATCCATGACAACAGTAATAAGAATAAGTTCTTCAATCACGTTTTCCCAATCTATCTCTTTCCATGCTTCATATTCTCACTTCACTTTATTTGATGATAAAAATGAGAGTTGTTTCATATGGCAGAGATAGAACCCAAATATTTTCTCTTATTCAACTAACTTCCATCAAGTTAGTTATCGACGGTTATAGAATTTGAAAATAATAACTTCCCATATTTTGCTAATAAATCCTTTTATTTTATTAAATCATGTTTAAACTCTTAACTCACATGGTCACATTATAATATTATTTAATATTTTCTAACAATATACAGTTCTGATATTGATTTTTGTGTGTATCGTGTCATATGTTGGTCAGTGTGCAAAAGATAACATTAAATAGATTCCCAACTAAGACTGTGAGAACACTAATAATACAAATCTTGTAGAAGTCATTAATGGAGTCTTGAAAGGGACACAAAATCTACCAATAATAACATTCGTCAAAGTAACTTACCACGAGTTACATAAGTTGTTCATAAAGTGGGGGATCAAAGTTCCAACAATGATTCCTTTCGGCCATGAACATACAAGAATACTTAACAAAGGACGTTTTCCCACTTTGTCTGTCAAATTGATCAACATAGCAATAAATTATTGCTAGAGTAGAGAGTAGGCATGGCAACGGGGCGGGGCGGGGGCAGGTTTTACGTTCCCCGCCCCCG